GGCTCAGTAGATTGTTTAAGATTCTCTAAGAATATCTATATGAGGGGTGCTCAAAAAATTTTGCAACCTTTGTATGTTTATTGAATATATTTGAAAAATTATTTATTCATTAATGCTTATCATATTACAGTCGAGTCTCGATAATTAAAAAACCTGAAAAAAAATTCGTTCTCAATAATTCTTGATAATTTTAATTTCTGTTTACATCGAAAAAAAAATAAATAAATAAATAAAATCGGATTCCCTTGCAGTTTCGAATAATCGGATTTGAGAATGTCATATTTGGTGGTCTTCAAAGTAATTTCAATTTGATATAGTACACCTATCTGATATATACATCTATTATCAACATTTACGTAGCATATATAACATAATTCAATTGGATGAAGTTCCCAACTTTGTAGGATCTGTGACATCTATCCTTGAGATCTACTTGAACCACTTACATTTCGCTCATCAGCTGCTCAACGGTTTACACATACACTATATACCTTATATTTATATACAAATTGAATTTATTCGCAATTGCTCCGCCACAGTTTGTTACATAGTTCCTTAACCAAGCCCATGCACCCTCGTAAAAAACAGTTAAATTGCTTAAGAAAAATGCCCGCTGAGAGCGGCAACAATAACAAATGAGTTTAGCGTTCGTTCGTGTTGGATGGGGAGAGCCGTGGGGCGCCCACACTTGGCTAGTTAGCAAAGCAGGTGTCAAGTAGCAAAAGGTGTGTAAATACGCATACATCAGAGCAAACACTCAGGTGTGTGTAAGTGAGTGTGTGTGTGTGTAAGTGTGTGTAAGTGTATGCGGGTGCAAATCAGTTGGGAATGCAAAATTATAGCACACTTTCTGACATGTGTGAAGGCATACAGGTATGTGTGTGAGTGTGTTTGTGTTTATGCTTAAGAAAGTTAACACACATCTCTCTCTCTCTTTCCCTCTCTCCCTCTCTTTTGGTTACTTTGTTGGCTGTGGTGTCCAAGCCCTTTTGATTGATTATTATGCTAAGTGTTTATGCATTTGATAGATGGAAATGGGTATATACAGATACATATACCTATATATACCTATATAGACATATATACATATATGCTCTATATATAGCATATGTGGGGCTTTCGTTGACTGCAATTAGCTGCTAATGAATCAGCTGAAACAAAATCAGATATCAAGTTGAGCTTGTGCCAATGCGTTAATCATGTTTGTTT